TCATCGCCACCTTCTATAACGCTCTATACGTAAGTCTTTCCGTAGCCCCTGAGTGATCCAACAGTATACTAACAAACCATCAGCCCTCCCCTGACGCCACCCCCGATGCCGAGGCCTTTTTCACCCAGTACCTCGCGGCTCCCATCGTCATCTTCCTGTACCTGCTCTGGAAGGTCATCTCTCGCGACACTAGCATGTACGTGCCACTCAAGGACATCGACCTCAAGTCGGGCGTCCGCCTCCAGGAACCCAGCGACGAGCCCATGCCCGAGAAGACGTGGGCCAACCTCCCCCGACGGGTTGCCCGCGCTCTGTTCTAGCTCAACAGCGAATGGTCTATCGGATTCAATGGCGAGCCGTGTATGCAGCTTTCGCCCTTGACCGACAAACCGAAAGAACAGGCGAATTGCGTGTGTAAAAGGAGAGAAGGGACAAGACTACGAGTCTAATGAGTCGGATTTTTACAAAATATTAGTGTTAATTCAATCCAAAGATACCAATCATTCATTGTTTCCTTTAATCCAGCATTGCTGTTTAGAGTACGAGGACTATCTCGGCATCCATCACGATCGAAAAACACGTGCCTGGGTCCTCAATTGGACAAGTCGCGTTGAAACAGTGTTCTACAATCGTATATACAAGAAAGATGAGCCCAACTGTCTTCAGCATGGTCTATCCAGAGCATGACCAAGTGTATGTTCTAGTCTTCAGTAAAACGTTGTGCGCACACGTAAATTGACAGTTTATACGCTTGCTGATCAGTGTGTGTATATTCAAGTCTAGCCCAACTCGCCCGTCTAAATCGGCTTCGCTGTCGTGCGTAGCCACAGATGCAAAATGCGAGGTGTTTTACCTTGCTGGTCGCTGCTCGCCCGCCTCGGCTGCGAGGTCACGTTCAACCATCTCGATAGAGCCCAAGCTAGGGAATCGCTTCGAGAAGTCTTGCAAATAGTCCTCCTTTTCTCTGGCCGACATTTCTATCACTGGCCGACCGGGGAGTCCTACGCCAACAAGGTGGTCGGAGGACATCGAGGGGGCCTGTGATGATTTCGGTGGCGAGCCTGACCGGCCACCGGTCGGCAAGCTATTTAGGTGCATCGGCTTACGCGGTGCCACTGGCCTCGGCCCAGGAGTGCTTCGCCCCGTTTGTGAGACAGGATCGCTGGCAGACGGCCGCACTTTGTGGACGGCGACATCTTGAGCGTTGGAGGGTGTCACGGATCGAGATTTAGCGCCGCCAACCGGCTTCCGGGGAATCTCAGGAAGCTGCTTATCCAGTCGGTTTGGGGCTGGAGAGTTGTCGGTGTAGACTCCGTAGCCTTGTGCGGTACGAGGAACCTGCGCCGAGGACTTCTGGCCTTCATTCAACAGATTTTGCACTCTGTTCTGAATGCTGACGGCTCGAGAAACGCCGCCAATGCTCTTCGGCAGCCCGCCGGGACCTGAACTTTGATTGGTGAATCGTTGTCGGTATTCTGCTGCTGCTGCTTCGACACGGCGCTCTTCCTCCTCAAGCCGGAGCCGTTCGAGCTCTCGTCGCATGGCAGGAGTCATGTCTTCAGTCTCCTCCATGCCCTTGCCGTCATCAGTACGGCCATCGGTAGCCTCTGAACCCTCGATTGGGGTGAGTGTCGGGCGATCTAGTTGCTTGAGCGGTGACGGCGTTCGGGCGGGCGCCGGAGCCTGGTTTCCTTCAAACCGCTTGAATGCATCTCCAAACTTCCCAGCCAAGATGTTCTTAGTTCCAGAGAGCGAGCTTAGACTTCCGCGCTTGCCATGCTTCGCACCCCACTCCTTCCTCTCTGATTTGGACTCTTCCATGCTGCGCAGGAACTCTACATTTGATTCGATGTGCGCTTCCTCCTGCTCCGGCTCCGTGGGCGCCGCAGGAGATGGCACTCTATCCGGGAACTTTGGAGACATCAAGCCCGGAGAGGGTAATGGCTTTGAGGATCCTTCCTTCTCGCGAAGAAAATCCAGGTTCGACTCCAGGTGTGTGCTCACCGGACGCTGGCGGCCGTCAATGGATCTTCTTTGGGCGCTTGAGTCAAGGAGATCCAGGCTTGGGCGTCCGCCCTCGAGGGACGGACGAGATGATGATGGATGCCGCACGTGGTTCGGCCGAAATTGGTATGAAGGGACCCGTGGAATAGATCCAGGAACTGGATCGTCCGCTGCTGAACGGCTAGGAAGGCTCGACTCGGACTGACGAGGAAGGCTTGTTGACCGACTGGGGTCTGTCGTAGGTACTCGCCATATAGGTGCTGGCTCACGGGCCTGCTGCTGCTCCGGAGGCGGCGTATTTGTCATGGTGCCAGTCGACACGTATCTCGATGGCGGTGCCTGATACGGGTTTTGGGCATGAGCGTGGGCCTGGGAGTGAGACGAAATAGCTTGCAGCTCAGGGTTCTTGTTGATAATTGCATGCGCTCTGCTCATCTCGGCTTGCTGTGTAGGAGCCGAGGCAGTTTTTGTCAAGCCCACGGCTCCCGGTGGAGGAGACTTCACCGTCGGAGGTGTGTAAGAAGAAGCTCCTGTTGGCGCAACTGTCCTCGGACGAACTGGCTCCTTGTTCTTCGGGGGCGAGTGCGCAGCTGGAAACGCCGCGTCTACGGGCTTCTCAGCGGGTCGCTGGGGCTGGCTTCGCTGCTGCTGCGTTGCAGGGGGGGTGTGGGAGTCAAAGTTGAATTTGGATCCCGACTCGTGGAGCAGAGAAAACTGATCCAAAGATGGGAACCGAGATGAAAATTCATCGACATCTGCCGCAGGAGTAGTAGCAGCAGCCGCCGCCGTTGCCGCAGCTGGTGTGTCTAGAGCAGCAAATGGGTCTCCATTGGTGACGCGCATGGGAGACGGGCTTGGCTTTGCCGCTTGCTGGGCCTGCGCCTGAGGCTGTTGGCTGGAAGCCGGAAGTCTGCCTCTCCTCATGGGCACAATGTCCGGGAGAACTTGCTCCTCTTGCTTCGCCGGGGCAAACACGGCGCCGACTACTGGCTTGGCCCCTGCAGGCTCAGTTGCGGCAGGTCTGCTTTGTGGCTCCGAACGTTGCTTTCCGGTGTAGATCTATGCCATCCTCAGTGAGCTACTCGTTGGAGGGCTTCATGGAATAACCTACGTCGTGTATAGGGACGTCGCGACCCTGCATGGCGCAGCCTTCGCGCAGAACCTGATAGATGTTCGGTCTAGCTGCGGGGCTCTCACGCAGCATGGAAGCTGTCTCTTGTTAAGCGTGGTTTTTAGCCCAGGTCTTGGGGACTTACCAATCAACTTCTTGAGGCGATCCGAAAAGACTGGATAACTAGGAAATCTATAACTTGCGTTGAGGATAGCCAGCTGCCCCTGGTCCTCGAACGGGGTAGTGTAGTAGCACAACTTGTACAACAGCACTCCCAAGGCCCAAATGTCAGATTTTTCGTCGATGGGAAGTTTGCGGTAGACATCAATCATCTCGGGACTCCTGTATTGCATGGTGGTGTGTTTTTGTACGTCCTCGTCCATGAGCCTACATTCGACGACGGTTTGCGGCGCAGGTTTCGGCGGAGCAGCAGATCCAAAATCGCAGACCTTGAACTTTTTCTGGGAGCCATGGCTGACGATGAGCACGTTTTCGACCTTCAAGTCACGGTGAAGGAGAGGTGGCTTGAGGTAGTGCATGCAGGCGACGCCCTCGGCGATGTCTGTGAAGATGTGGAGGATCTCGGGCTCGGTCAAGCGATGCTGAAGACGTGTGTTCATGAAATCGATCAAACCGCCCCCATCGCAGAATTCCATGAGGAGGAAGACTTCATAACCGCCGCCACGCATTTCAGAGGCGTGAGAATCGATGTATGTAACGATTGGGCGATGACCCTTGAGCCTCTTCATGGTTTCGACCTCGGTTCGCATGCTTCGCAGCGCCTCCTTATCGGGGACAGCCACTCTCTTCAGGACAGCCATGTCTGTGCCGTCGATGGGCTTCGGGAGCTTGACCAGATATACGTGGGCGAACCCTCCCTCGGAGAGATATTTCTGAATCACCACCCTGTGGTTTCCAACTTGTATCTTCGTTCCGGGAGCGAAAGTGCCCGCAGGGGCGGTAGGCACGGGGGCAGGCATTGGGGCGCCATAGGTGGCAGGATGGGCAGCTCGAGGTGCCGCTGCGGGCATGTGATGGCCATAGGATGCCATATCGACGGGATGGACTTGTGGTAGTGGTCGTCGGCTAGGAGAAGAGGTTGTCGCCGCCCGACGTAGTCAAGACAGGGCAGGCGGTCGAGTACGGTGAGGGTGATGGAGCTAGTGGATTCGATGAGAGGAGCGACGGTGACATTGACTCGTAGATGCGACCCGGTCGAGGCACAGTTAAGCCATTCTTAGGCATCGATGGCGGATGTGGGCGTCTTTGATGATTTGATTCTAGGTTGCCATCAAGCTGGCCCTGAAGTCGGACATGTGTAGTAAGAGTTGTAGACAGTAGGCAGCACGCGGTGCATAAGGTAGGTCAGGTAGGTACGGAGAGTCCATCAGCCGCTGTTAGTGGTGGAGCGCTGGCATAAGGCTTTGGGAAGCTAACCCAAGACCCTGGCACACCCTGTTCACAGTTGCATGTTTCGCAATGCATCAGTCGGGGAAGTGTCGGATAAATGCCATGCACCACTGTTCAAGTCATTGGTTGGGCTGCGGCTGTTTGACAGTCCTCACCAGACGGCACCACCTGAGTTTTCATGCACCAACCGGGCAAAGGTGGGCTTTTCTCATCTCAACAACTGAAAACGGTCAGCCGAGATCCAGATTCCGCTGGTGGGGAGAAGATCGTTGTCAGTTTAGCTTATCGATAAGCGATAGCGATAAGACCTTGCACCCAAGCCGAATTTTTTTTTTTTTTGATTTCCCTCGAGAGGCTCGAGCTGCCTGCTGCATCTGAGAAGCGTCGCAACCTTTTTTCCCCTTTTAATCTGATCTAGCGACAGCCCCAAGAACCTTCCAAATTCTAAAACGGACGACCGCGAAAGACGACAGAAATGGCTGGCAAAAGAAAGAGAGTCGAAATAGCGAGCGCGCCTCCTACGAAGGGCGCTACGCCTGTGAAGAAAGCCAAGCCAACCACGAACGGCTCTGCTTCGAAAGAAGACGATTCGGCCGAGGAGTTGACAATCCAGATTGTCGCCGGTTCGTACGATCGCGTTCTGCACGGTATCACCGCTACTATCAAGCCTGAGGGGACGGTCGATTTTGCCGACACATTCCTCTTCAGCGCACATACATCTGCAATCCGCGCCGTTGCCTTGTCGCCTATTTCAGCTCCCATTCCCGGCCAGAGCCAAAAGGTCCTGCTGGCATCAGGAAGCACCGACGAACGAGTCAATCTGTACAACCTATCTGCGCATCCCCCGAGCCGGAAAAGCCAGGAGCTTCTCTCCTCCGTTGCTCCCCGCCCTATCCTCGAAAACCCCAAGAATCGCGAATTGGGCACGTTGTTGCATCACACATCGAGCATCACCAAGCTGGTGTTTCCTACGAGGTCTAAGCTACTTTCTTCAAGTGAGGACTCGACAATCGCCATCACAAGGACAAGAGATTGGTCTGTTTTGTCGACCGTTAAGGCGCCCAAGCCCAAGGTGATGGGCAGGCCCAGTGGTGACACTGCTCCTTTCGGCGGAACGCCTTCTGGCATCAACGATTTCGCCATCCATCCCAGTATGAAGTTGATGATCAGTGTCAGTAAGGGCGAGAAGAAGATGCGGCTGTGGAACCTGGTAACTGGCAAGAAATCTTCTGTCTTGGAGTTCAGTCGAGAGCACTTGCAACAGCTCGGAGAAGGAAGGCATTCGACTGGTGAGGCTCGCAAGGTGGTCTGGGGTTCGGCGGACGATGAGCAAGAGTTTGCGGTCGGCTTCGATCGTGATATCGCCGTGTTTGGCATGAATTGCGAAATCAAGTGCCGCGTCATGCCGGAGCCTCGAACCAAGATCCACGAAGTTTTCTATGTTCCTGTTGAGGGCGAGACGGAAGAGAGCTTCTTGGCTGTATCGACTGAGGATGGCCGCGTCCTGTTCTTCTCTACCAAGGAGAGTGACCTGAACAAGGCCGACGAGGAGGGGAAGCTATCTACAGCCAAGTTGATTGGCCAAGTCGGCGGCAAGGAGGCAGGTGTCTCGGGCCGCATCAAGACGATGGCCATATTGGAGACGAAGGAAAAGGACTCGACAGCTTTGATTGTAATTGGAGCCAGCAGCGACGGCAAGGTACGAATTTGGAAGGTCGGCGTGAAGGAGCTTGTTGCAGGAAAAGGCAAGCAAGTAGGCAGAACATTGGGAACCTACGACACACAAAACCGCATCACATGCATGGCAGCGTTTACGATGATACCCCGGCCGGAGGGAGTGGAGGAGAGCGAAGACGAAGCCGAGGAGGACTCTGAGGATTCCGAGGACGAGGAAGACGAGTAGTTGCATGTAGCTATGTGATTTGGATGAGAATAATATATCAATTCAAGAACTGCGTCAATCTGACTTTTCGGACTTGGGTGCACAACTTGCCTAGCACGCGGCTTGCAAAAAAAAGCGAACACTACATACGTTACCACCACACTTCCCCTCACCACCACCAAAAAACCCCTACTTTTCGGATACCTATTAGTCACCTACTTCTTCCTTATTTATTCTATTAATTAATTTATATATAGAATAGGTCGTCAGTATTTCAATACGCTAAAAAAAGCAAAGATCTAAAGTATAGTTAATTATTTGTTATATATTAACCTAATATACCCTAAGTAGCAGATTTTTAACCACTATAAGGTTAGCTACACCTCTAGCTATAAGATCCTAGCTAATAACTTATGCTACTTCTATAATAGTACTCTAATAGATAAAATATATAAGTATAAAAAGCTCCTATTTAATAATAATATTAATAAAATAGAGCGATTATTATAAGATAATAAATAGAATACTTAAACCCTCTCTTAGTAGACCCTTCTTACTAAAGCTAGCCTTAAAGTTAACTACTATTAATAAATAGTCTAATAAGTAATAAATACCTTTAGCTACTATAAATATATAGCTTACTATAAAAACTAAATAAGCCTCTATACTATAGAAGATTATATAGCTAAAGCTTATAAGTTATTAGAATAGTTCCCTAATATATCATACTAACGCTAAGTTTATTTCTCTAATAAATACTACTTTAGCCTAAAACTAGAAAGTAAGATTTATATTATTTAGAAACCTAATAAGAAGTACTATAATAACTACTACTAAGAAGTTAACCCCCCTTAAGATAAGCATTATAAATAAGTCTATATATAAACTACTATTAGCTATAAGTTTAAGAGTAACTTAGTATTCTATAATATAAGTAACTATAATAATAAGATATCCTATAAATACTATATTAATTAGATTCTTAAGCTTTATATTAAATACTAATTTAAACGTAATAATAACTTTATTCTTAAGGAAGATAGTAATTTAAACTATAATCTTTTAAAAAAGAATAAAATCTAAAACTAAAAAACTACTTATAAACTAAAGTTCTACTTTAACTATTATAATAATTTAAATTAAAGCTTTATAGAGAACTACTAATCTATCCTAAAAGAGATTATAAAGTAATATTTATACTAAAATAAGAGTGAAGTTTATAAATTAGCTAAAGAAGCTTAGAGGGATAAACTTAGTAAAATAATAATTAATAAGTAAGTAGATTTAATACCCTAGAGACTTAAAGAGACTATCACATAAGAGGGCAAAATAACCTAATTTTGATATATATATTATAATTATTTCAAAAGATTTAATTATATAGTAAAAAGTATTATTTTAATACTATATTTATTAGGTTCGAAAGGGGGGTTATAGGTGTGGTGGTGGGTGTAGGGCTAAAGTGTTCGCTTTTTTTTGTAAGCTGCGTGCCTAGCCGGCACGATGTGATGAGGTGGCGGAGAGAAGAATGGGTCCGAACGACCGTCGGCCGGCACGGCGTCAGAAGATTGGCTCGTGCGGGAGTCCCGCTGATCGGCGTCGAGAGTGTCTCGCATCAGTCTGCAGGTGGCATGCTCTTCCCAGCTGTGTTTCTGGCGCACGAGTGCTTGCAGTTGAACGCTGAAAGCCTTGGAGAGTCCGCGGACATGGAGCTGCCAGTGCGACGTTTTAATGCACAACGGTTTGCACAGTTCCCCATCCCCAAAGGCTCTGGAGGATTCGATGCTGACCCTGATGTTGAAGACTACAGTTAAGAGAGGTCCGCGCTCGCCAGGGCTGACGAGGGAAGAGAAACGAGCAGTTTAGGGCAAACGCAGGCTTGGCAAGATAGCGCATACCACACATGCGTATGTAGGCCACAGACGGGGTAGCACGTTTGTCTCTGGTTGAGACGAAGAGGCGCGTCTAGTGTGCAATTCAACCGTGGGAGGTTCACGTGCAGGGCAGTCTGTGCGGGCGGGTTTTACGATGTGCGTAATGCATAGAGGAGGAGACATTGACATTCCTGAGATGCCTTTGCCCCGGGCCGTTGAATGAGGGAGCGCGACGAGGCAATGACTACTACACTAGAACCCGGCGGGGAGTAGGGCTGCCGCCAGTTCCCGCTCGTCCTTCGTGTTTGTTTCTGAGCGTTGGCTGCAGATCTGAGATGAGTATTATTAGAGTCCCGTTCGAAGGGTCTTTTCTCCTCTAGCGGTGAAGCTTTTTTTCTCTTCTTCAAAAAGGTATGATGCGTGCCGTCCCCGTTTATTTTCTCAACGCTCGCAGGGGCCTTGCGCATTGAGGGGCTAAATACGCGGACAGCTCACATTCAGGGACCGACGGGGACGGGCAAACTAATTGGCTGACTGGTTCCGTCTCAATCTCTCTCTCCCGTCTGACCCGAGACTTGTTCGGAGGTGCGTATTCGCAGATTCATCCGTCGATAACCTTGAGGCATGGACCTTGAGTATGAGGCAAGGGATAATTCGTCGCCGTCACAGTCGTAGTCACGGGGACAAGGGACTGGTGGTTTAAAGTGAGGTACTAGTCCAGCTTTGCAAAGTTAGGTAGGTATTGTGAAGGGGAAAGAAAACACACCAAGGAACCCGGCTGGTTGCTCAAGGGAACGGAGGGGACGGACGCTGGAGGGGGGGGAGCAGGCTAGCAGAGTGTGGGGTAGCGGCGAATCAGGTGGCCAAGAATGTCATTTCAGGACCCAATCTGGCGTGCACCAGTCATGTGGCTCCACCGGAGACAATCCCATTGCATGCAGCTGCGCCTTGGCGCCAGTCCCCTAGCTCCAGCCTCCAGCCTCCAACCAGCAGCTAAGGGGGGAATCTTTGCCTGTTCAGTCTTTCCGCCCACGGGAACTTGCAGAGGGGAGGATTCGTTGAGTCTGGTCGAGTCCTTTGGTGTCTCGCTGCAGCTGCAGGTATGTCTGTCTTCGGGCTTGTTATGTTGTGTTATGTTGACTGCAGTAAACCTATGGATGCAATGGAACTGAGCTGCTGCGGGTGCCGTACCATCAAATGGAACTGACGAGTTGCAGGGTAGGCACCTCATGGTGGGTCTACATAGTAGAGCTGGAACACTATTCGTGCAAACCTGCAAAGCCAGACATGTGAATATTTCTCTTTTCCTCGCCCGTCCCTCCCGCTCTCTCTTTCCCAGTCCCATTCTCCAGTCGAGTCGAGTCCAGCCCATCCTCAAAGAACCCCTCCTTTCTGGTTATTCCCGTCCCCCTTCTTCCTGCACAACTACGGCATTGTGTTGCTGCACCGACTCCTCCGCTCCGGAATACATTACCTGCCGCTGCCGGGAACACCCAAGCCATACAGCGTGGAGACCACACCACCACCACGCCGAAATCCCCCCTCTCTCTTTCGCGTCGCCCGCATCTGTTTTACCGGCTTGTCTACCCTCTCCGTCCGAGAAACGTGCCATAAGCGATTGCACGTAGCACGAAGCACGCACGCAGAAAAGTGTCAGTCGTAGCAACCTGATACTGCGGTGGCTGCCGCGGGATACGGGTCCCGACGCCGATAGCTCGTAGTCTCCGCGAACTGACCTCTAAGAGATCATGCCGTTGCCGCCTCCTTCATTCCCGTCACCCCAGCATTAACTCGCCTGCACTGCTGTCAGCAAGACGCATCAGCATACATACCTACAGCATCGCTCCCCTCTGAATTCCATATCTTATTCTTCCTTCTTTAAGATCTTCCGTCGTGTCCGCATTCGCAACGTCTCTCCTCGCCAACGCACCACTATCTCGCAGAGGACGCCCTGCATCAGCTCCTCTGAGCTACCGCTGCCGCCACTCCTCCCTCGTCTCGTGCCGCTGAGTCGACCCTCGACTGCCCAGCGAAATTCCGTCCTCGAATGGCAGTCTCACACACTTTCGACGGACTTTTCGCCAATAACTAATCCTCCTCCGTTCGTCCAATCCTTCGCCATCTTACATCGTATCTTGGTTTGAGGAGAATCGTATCTGAGCCACGTGAGACGAGACAATCTTCTCCTCGTCCGAAGTAGTTCGGTGACGACAGCAAAATCCTCCCGGTCCTTGGTCAGCAGAATTAGACTTACTCGTACATTTCATTTTTGCCGGCAACTCGAAGGCGCACCGTCATTCCTCCCGTGAGCACATCATAAAGCCCCAGCGCCCACCTCGGTGAGAGTCGTATCAACTTCCTGCTAACAGCCTCAGTCGCAGAGCATCTCTCAACCGAACGTCATGTCTGACGACGGACCCCCTTTGTTGCGGCCCATTCCCCGCCGCCCCTTCGACTTCAACTACACAAGCCCTACTCCCCCAGAAGACGCCTCGTCCTCCCCAAGCCCGAATCCCGAGCTTGACTTCTCGAGATTGCACAATGGCCAAGCTTCGTCGGATTCTGGCTCCTTGCCCCGCGCGCAGTCCATCATGAACTTGACGTCCTCCACGTTATTTGGCATATACTCTCCGACGACCTATGGGAGCCGCGACGGCAACGAGAGGGACGAGCCAGATACACCATGGGGAACAGGGGCACAAACCCCCATCAAGCGCCCTAGCGTGGACGACACGACATTCGAGCTCATGAAGGATCGCTCGACTCTGCTGCGCCGACGCTCCTCATATCGTGGTGCCAAGCAGCCACCGCCCTCAACTGCAGCCTCTACGCTGTTCACAACCTTCAGAATAGCCCTTCTGTTCATCATTGGCATGGGATACGGTGTTATGGTTACTCGGTTGCAGAACGAACATCGATTCTCGTCATTCCAGGTCGAAAGCATCATAAAACCAAGTTATAACTGGCAATACCTTTCATTATGGGGTCTGTCGGGCGTCGTCCTCGGCGGCCTGCTCCCTTGGTTCGATGGTGTGTGGGAGGAAACATTTGGAAAGGATGAGGAGATTGCAGAAGAGAGGGAAACCCCGTCTCCTGAAGACGCCAGCCCTGTCAAGGACTGGGCGTTAGTTGTTCGGAGTATCGGTGCCTTTGTTGGTATTGTTTTTGCCATTGTGAGTCACTCTGTCTGCACCGTTGGGTACCTGAAAACTGACAACCAACAGCGTAAACTCCCATGGGCCTCCACCCTCCAGGTATCCCTAAGTTTGGCTCTGGTCAACCCATTTCTATGGTATTTGATTGACCGGTCAAAACCCGGCTTTTTGCTGTCCATGGCAGTTGGGGTGACGGGATCGGCGGTGCTCCTGGGCATCAACCCCGACGTGATGCCTACCCCTTCATCCCTCACCTACCGGAACGAGTCTGAGAGGGCTTACGCGGAGCCCATGACGCTGGGCGGTTTGGCAAGCCAGGAGACCATCGAGACGGGGATTTGGATGTTGAGTGTCTTGTTCTGCAGTTGCGTCTGTTTTGGAAACATTGGCAGGCGGTTAGCTATCAACAAGTCAGCCACCGCACGGGGTCGCTGGGCTGGAGTTAGATGAGGGCCGAGATATCAAATTTATTTGCTTCGGGACTCTACGTAATTACGGCTGGCTGGTGGTCTTCTTGTATGGATTGGCGTCGTCGAGGATACGGAACGGTGGGCATATCAGGTACAAGTTGTGAATATCGACTACGAGTAGTAGAGTGGCTTTCAGTAAAGAACAGCCACTTGTGAGAGAGGCGCAGCATCTATCACATAACCGAATCGTGGACACTCATGCCCTGGTTATGCAGGCAAACCGCACTGTTTCATCACGCGAGCCTAACCTGGGCAACTCTGGTCAGCACATCACCAGGTAACGACGCGACAGAATCAATTACTACATCCTCCTCTTCGCCGTGTTTTCCCTCCATTCTCCGTATCCTTTCTCCATATGCCTTGCTAGGCATCCCTTTGACGCTCGCTCTAGCTGTGTCAATGTTGCGCAATGCCCACTGCCTACCATCCTATAATGATCCCTCGTCGTGTTTTGCTTCCTCCTTTTGCTAGTCTCTATTTTAATGGGGCCTAGGATTTGCTGGCTACCTGGCCTGGTTGACGACTTCAACAACGGCCTGGGATTTGGAGGTGACATCGCTGCCGTAATCGACTTGAGGAAGACCCATCATGGTCAGGAGACGCGGGGTGCTGACCAACTCATTGACGGTGACGGCTCGGCCGCAAACATCGGCAAAGGATTCGGCGGCAGCGGCGGGGCCGGTTGACAGACCTGGGATCCCCATGTTAGTGGGAAAAATTGCTCTCTCGGCATGGCCCGCGCGGGTGCGGGTGCGAGTGTGGGTGCAGGTGCCTGGTGAGTTGATGCACTGCCTGCCGCCTTCACGGGGCTGTTCTAACCAGATTGCTGCCGGATCTGCTCCGGGTATTGCACGGGCTCGCCATCCCGGATGTGGTCGAGTTCGGTCATGATATACCGGGACCTGCTGACAAAGTCCCAGACGTGAAAGAGTCCACGGTGGGGGTTCTCAGGGTTCCAGGCCGGGTGGGCCTCGATGGCGATGATGAGCTCGGAGAGCCGTTTGATGATGGTGGCCCGGACTTCGGGGGAGGGAAGTTCAGCTGACATTTCGAATCGGGAGTTTGGGTATGGTAGAAGAGTTGTCGAGGCAGGGTTTAAGGGGGAAGACCAGGTGAACCAAAACCGTTGTCAAGCGATGCTGTAAGCAGACAGACAATCACTGGACGAAGGTAGCCAGACGTTAAGGGAGCTGATGATGGAAATCGAAGACGAAGAGAGAAAAAGAAGAAGAAGCGGAAGTTTGGATGCTGATGCTGACTGAATTAGCAGTCACAACTCAAGTTTCCTAATCTGTGACTTGTCGGTGAGGGTAAGCAAGGGTTTGGAACGCGTTGCCGCGTAGATGTGGCATGTTCCCATCGCACAGACTCAGCTAGACAACAAGCCACCGCCTTCGCTTTCAATTTTTAGGTTGCGTTTGCTGGGGGGGAACCGAGAATCCAGTGGGGTCGAAATGGCGGGATTGGGCTGAATGGAGGGGTTCGAGGGGTTGATGGGGTCTCGATGGCTGGTCCAGAATCGAAGATCTGGCCCGATTCTGGAAGCTCAGTTGCGAAGTCGATATGACGAATCTCGGATATGGCTGCACAGATAATCATGTTGTTGCAACGACAATCAGCCAACCATGCCAGCCTCCGTCAAACTCCCACGGCCCCCCCCCCCCCCCCCGGGCAATAAGCCACACGATCTTCGTACATGCTGTGAATGCGACACAACTAGGTTGGAATACATCTCGAGCGAGGCAACGAGCCTAGTCCTGTCCTCGACGTCCTAACAGTATGCAAGCCCTCGGACTTTGAATCGGAGACTGGGATCATGCAAAATGTCCGGTGAGAACCAAATTATATCGGGCAGCCTGTGAGGCTGAAGCAGCGGAACAAAAGAAGTTTCTGCGTAAGAGCTCGTCTCGCATTGCTGTTGTGGGTAAGGTGCTCGTGAGACGGCGCTACAGTGGTGCTGAAGTCTGGGGCGAACTCAACCTAGCAATTCTTGAGAGAACTGGATCAGCGCCGATAGTGGTTAGGCCGGGACACTCGGATTCCTCGCAAGCGACCACAAGGCTATCAAGTTCGTGGTGAGGCAGGTGACGGCGCACGCGGCGGCATCGGCACGCAAGGCGTTTGTAGACAGCGGTAGGACCGCGGGCGGCTAGTTGCGTGGCAACAGAAAGGGCGTGATAGCTTCGTTTTAGTGCCCCAAACAGACATACGCGTTCCGTCAGTAGCCTTGTGCGCCGCTGCGCCACGACAATGGTTGGGCGAGGCTGAAATCGAGATTGCTGCTCGACGCGTCCTAGACCGTGAAGGGTAGTCACGTTGACCAATAATTGTCGAGGTTTGGGGGTAGCCAGAGTCCCGAGGCCGTCCTGGTTTCCTGTCCGGGACTGCGATCAGCCGTAACCAGGGCTAACAACTGGAACTAGGGTCCATCAGACGACCGAAGCTGACCAAAAAAGTCATGTTGCAGATGCTCTGAGAGATCCGAGACACGACACATCAGTCAAAGGAAGAAGAGCGACTGGGACAACAGCGACTGCGCTTGTCAGGGCCACGGGGATTGCCTGGGTTCGTCCCCGAAGGCGTTTCGGGGAGGGGATATGCATAACGTAAGGCAGGGAAGGTACAAAGGGCAAGTGGTGTTGTTGGCGGAGGCAAAAGTAGCGCTGTCATGACGCACTGGATCTGAGAAACGAGGTGCATCTAAGTGGGCGCCGCAGCGAACAGGGCGACGAAAAATGCTGGACCCTGGGCTTGTACGGGCTGTCTGGGTGCGTGCATGGGCTAGCGTCGATGGCTGGACATAAGAGAACGGAGCAGGATCGTTTTCTGCAGTTGTGATCACTTCATCAGAGGCATCTTCGTCCGACTCAACCCAGAGGAAAAAACGCAGTTTCTGTGTGGGAATACGGGCCACGGCCCAAGGTGTTGTCTCCGGTTTCCCTGCTGGACGAGAGGCGTCCGTCCAATACCAGGTACCGTCCAAGTCGCGGTACTTCTCGGTATGGATTGGGAGTGTCGACGGCCATGCTTGCTGATGTCAGGGTCCTGGGGCTTGCTCGCATCGAGATCTCTGGTTGCGGCCACACGAATTGGCAATGCCGAGAGTGGTATTCCGCCGTGGCTGCGAGATTACTGATTCTGCAGTTTGGTGGAAGTTGGCGAACGGGTCTTCATCCCTTGCATTAGATCCGTCCTTCTTTATTACATACAGCAACATCGATAACAACAACCACAAACCCAAGCCCGTCTGTTTGCTGCGTGTAATCCGCATGGAGATGTCCTGACCGAGGTGCTGAAGAGGGCAAGAACGTTCTTTGCTCGAAGCTACACTCTCCCGCCCGCCTGACACTTCGCCTTGCCGGCGAGATAGAGTCTAGTGCCTGCAGCGGCAGCACCTCAGAAGCAGCCCGGGCAGCCAGCCACACATCGGAGGCGGACCGCAGTCCGATACAAGTGTCTTACTGGACGTCCACGAAGTAGTCACGTGGCGTAAAGAGGGACGTCTCACTCAATGGATGAGGTAAGCAGCTGCGTTGCACTACCTGCCTTAGATAGGTAGGCACCTTCCACTGCTCAATGGCGTCATACAGTGTACCGTTGTGCTGGAATCCGACACTTGGAATCACGACTTCCTGGGGCAGCAAGAGGCGAACAATCAACAAACCAGATGTGTACACGGACAAGTAGTGTAGAGCAGCAGTGCGGCAAGAGACAACATCGAAGGCGATGATCAGGAATGAAGAGACAGATGCCGAGTTCAGTAATGTACGGTCCAACGTCCCAACCATACTTGGGTGTTGTTCTACCAACCTAAGGTAAGGTAGGTACCTACCACATGCTGGGTCCCGCCCAGATGGCGGTAGCGTTTTGTTCAGAACGCTGCATCTCCACTGCAATCGTTGGGTCGGTACGGATTGGCTTAGTGGCTGACCCCAAGCAGCAGTTGGGTCGTTCTTGTTACCAGCAATTGATCCGCCCGCCGTTGAGAGAAAATGCGAGCAAGCACCTGGAATCGTGTTAGCGCAGTGCAGCCAGCCGAACGACAAAAGTCAGTCCCCTCCATTCAGACCCGCGGTGTCGTCACAGCTAGCCCAGGATTCGTCTACTGACAACAGGCCGCTAAACCCTTATTCGCCTAGACGCAAGGGGCCCCGTCCAGGGCACTTGGAAAGCCCGCCCATGCGCCCTCGTCGCCTGCCGCCAGAACCTGGGAACTTCAAAGTACCGGTACTTGACAGCTACTTTTTCCTGAACATCGACATGGGCCGCCGGGTCTGTTGCTGTCCGGGGGCGGCTCTCTTCTCTTCTTTCTCTCAATGTTGCGCGCGCGCGCGCCGATGCCTCCTCCCACTCATCCAGCAGCAGTGCAGATGTTCTTGGGTCTCGACTCGCATCTTCTCTGGCTGGCCTCTTGTCTCTGGGATTGGATTGGGTGGCCACCGTCTCTTAGTACCCCTGCTCCTGTTCTCTCTACCTACTCATGCTCTTGCTCGCAGGCCCCTGACCTACCTTTCTCGAATTTCATTGACCTCATTGCACGGCCACACCCTCCCAGAAACACCCCTCCAAATCCACTCAGACATCCAGCGGATTGGTAACAGGACGTTAAATGTATGACGCCTGCCTGCGAATCTATTCCATCGTTACTTCGCGCTCCAAACGTACTCTTCATATGCTATCCACGCCTACCCGGTACATGCATGCCAGCACTCCTCCAACATCTAGCTCCGGCCCTCGGTCAACTAGCTTCGCCGGCGCCCCTTCACCTGGCCGCTTTTGATCTCGTTCAGGCGCATCATGAGATCCGCTCGTTCCTGTAACCACTGCAGCTCTGATGATCTCGCATATATGACCCCTGGTCGCTATCCCCCCGTCACTTCCCTGCTGCTGGACCACTCATACGTCCAAGAGCTTACCGGAAAAAACCACCACGAACAGTCGTCTGCTTTGGACACTTGGCGACAGCACGCATAGAAACACCGAGAGGTTACCACAAGAGAGACTTTAGAAGAAAGACGCGGAAAGGGTCAGCTTGGAAGTAGAGGCTCCGAGACGAACCGAAACCCTCCCAGATACCCCCGAGACGAATCACCCACGCCAGCGCCGTGCTGGTGGAGACGCTTCATGTCCTCCGACCAGCCCCGGGTCGTCGAGAGCAGACCATCGGCCTTGACGTCCAACCCGGTGCACGAAGCCGAGGACGAAAAGGACCATGGCACTGTCGAACGCCCTCTGCTGGCCGATCAGGTTCGAGATATTATTCGCTTGATCCAGTGCCGGAAGTGCTCGCGCCCGCTCCGAGAGCCCGTTACATTCCCTTGCGGCAGAAGCCTTTGCAGAGAATGCCTCCCCGAGACGCACGCCCGAGAAAACATATCATATCCAGCCACACCGGGCAGATTACAAGGCTTCGAATGTCCCTACCCCGGATGTGGTCGCAACCATGCGGTGGGCGATTGCGGTGTTGACGTTATCCTCACCAAGGCAGTCAACAACTTCAAAGCAGAGATTGAGAAGGCAAGGATGGCGGAAACAGTCGCCGAAATCTCCTCTCACATTATCATACAACCACCAAATCATGGCGAAAGCGACACGAAAGAGCAAGACCATGAGACGACGTCGAGAGTCATCCGTGGGGGCCCGCTGATCGCGGTTTACACACTTGCTGAAGAGGGCGATTTGGACTATAACTCTGACATTGCCTTTGCTGAAGTATCTTCCCATGGTGATGAGGCCGCCACTCTGGACACTAGGACTTTCTCCAAGGTCAAGGAATCTGTCAGGACAGAAATGGACTGTCAGGTCTGTTATGCCTTATTTTACGACCCCTTGACGACGGTCTGCGGCCATACCTTCTGTCGTTCATGCCTGCATCGGGTGCTGGACCACTCTTCATACTGCCCCATATGTCGGAGGGGCCTCTCGGTCAGCCCTTTGCTGTATCGAGAATCTTGTCCGTCAAACGAGCACCTCAAGACTATCATCCAAACCTTTTGGGCCGACGCAGTCCTCACTAGAGGCGATGCCTTGGCCGCCGAGGCATTGAACAGACATCGGGAATTTGACATCCCGATATTCGTTTGTACGCTTTCATTCCCCATGATGCCAACATTTCTCCACGTCTTTGAGCCACGATATCGACTCATGATTCGGCGAGCACTTGAAGGCGATCGAACCTTCGGCATGGTCCTTCCACAGCGGCCGCGCACGGCCAACGACACTCATTTCAAGGAGCAAGGTACTTTACTGCGGATCGTGAACGCGGAATATTTTGCCGATGGCCGTAGTCTCATCGAAACAACTGGCATTTCTCGGTTCAGGATCACAAGACATGGTATATTGGACGGGTACCTGGTAGGGAAGATTGAGAGGATTGACGACATCTCCATTGCGGAGGAGGAAGATCTGGAGGCGGGTGAAACACAACTAGCTCTGGAAAGATATGAGAGCGCCAATACACATCAAAGCGAGGACTCGACGACAACGCCCCCTGTTACAACCACACCCGAAGATCTTTCAAAGATGCCAACGAGCGAGCTATTGTCGTTTGGCGTGTCATTCGTTGAGAGAATGCGGCAACAAAGCGTGCCTTGGCTGGCACAACGGATGCTCGCAATCTATGGAGAATGCCCCAATGATCCGGCACTATTTCCTTGGTGGTTTGCCAGCATCCTGCCTGCTAAGGAGTACGAAAAGTACAAATTGCTCGGCACGAGGAGTGTCAGAGAGAGACTTAAGATCTGCTGCGGCTGGGTCTTGGAATGGGAGTCAAGTAGATGGTAAGTGTCCCTTGCCCAACTCAAGCTTTGCTTTGGCAGTCATCCCTGCTTTTGAGTTTGATCGCATCTTTTTTAAACTTCGCTTCGGTTCAAACTCCCCCACGGGGTTGAGGCTGAATTGGAGGTGTCGCTGCCCCCGTTTGCTTGTTATCAGACAATGAAACAGACGGGCTAAGGTGCAGAATCTCTCAGGGGTGCCCTTATTGACGGCCGCTCAGGTCCCTCTCAGACTGCAGAATCTTCTGATGCCGGGGACTAGTCCAGCCATCGGTACTGCATGTCACACGCGAGTGGCCTAGGTGTTTTATGCCGGCCGGGGCCAAGGAAGCGACAGGGGCTTGCGGGCGCTCTCTGTGCCATGCCTCTTGAAGGAGAATATATACAGGAGGATGAACATGTTTTCGCATTTGCATGGTAGCATTGGGCATGAGCTAGGACACTTCAACGCTTTACATGACGATACAGATACCAAAATTGGGCTATGCAAGTATGCTACTAGACAGCGATGTCTAATGCAAAGTCGAGGACCACTGCAATCTTTCGGAAGTGAATCATCGTTCTTCACGTTGTTATGATGTGGCGTCCAAAAGGTATCCGAAGTCTCCGGACGTCAAGACAGGTTACAGTTATCTGCTCTTTGAGAATGCCTCCCAGAAGACATATTAGTCAAGTTAGACATTTTCTGCGTGACATGGTTCAATCATTACTTCAACACGAGCTCATGTTCATATTCGATGGCATATGAGCCAGAGATGGGCGGCACTCACAAAACACAGGAGTGGTTGGCTGAATGGAGGCATTGGAGATTATGTCCACATACTTTGGGAGGCAAAATGACGTGCGGGATGGGAAAGAAACAGGGGCTGGCGCGTGAGTTACTCTTGCCCAAGACTTCATCAGTCTGCTCTTTCATGTCAATCACCGTCTAGGTAGGTCACGCCGCTCTTGCCTTTTCTGCCGAGAACCAGTAGCACCTTCCTGGCCGAGTGAAAGACAAACTCTTCTTTTTCGTTTACCAGTTCGAAGAAAAAAACTTGCTACTACATACCTCGCCTCTTCCCACCTAACCTCCATACTTCACATTCTGCACCTCACCACCACACGGTGCATCGTGTCCGCCCATAATGGCACCCAAACGCAAGCGCAAGGCCACGGTCAAGACCTCGCAGGCTCCCAAGGACCCTGCTGTGACCTGCTTGACAGAGAAGGGTGCCGCCAGTAACCATCTCCAAGTATTGCCTGGAGAGGTACGTGTGAACCCCCGAAACTGGGACGAGACAAATTGACTCGCCGTGCAGATCCGCCTGATGATCTACTCTTTGGCAGTAGTACAAGACGAACCCATTCGGCCTGTCCAAATCGAACACAGGTCTAACAAGTTCAAGACTGCTCCACTGCTGCCGAAATCGCGACAACAAGCAGTACGCACCTTTACCAGCTTACTTCTCAGTACTCGATTCTTTTATGATGAAATCTTGGCCCACCCGTTCTTCTACAGAGTAAGTCAATGCAGAGCTTGGCGTTGGCGGTATACTGACCTGGCGTCAGGAAAACGAGTTCGCCTTTCCTTCAGTGACATCGTTGCACATCTTTCTTTCGGCTCTGACGCCAGCTCGTCGCTCTTCGCTATGCCAAATACGCCTCGGCATCATCTCGTGGTGGGGGGTTTGCCTGCACGGAGAAAAGACTGTGTCACTGACAGCAGACATGCTGTCTCACTGTACCTCGCTGCGTAGTCTGAAGGTCGACATCGGCATTACCACCGGCATCTTGTATCCGACGCCAGCGACATGGTTCGCAAACCGTCGACAATCGGGGCCTACTTCCTGCATGATCAGTCCCAATTCCAAGCCATGGGCTGCACTACGACGCATTAGAAACCTACGGCACTTTGAAGTGTCATTGCGATGCCGCTTCTGCGAAGATTCTCTTGTTGCTGGCTTGATATCGGGTCCTGTTATCTGCCAAAGCCATCAATTCCACAAGGACAGAAATAATCTGGAACAGGAGATACAACTTCTTCATGTCGCCTTCTTGGAGATAGCAAAGGATGTTTGCACAAAAAGTGCAGCGATCCCTGTGAGCGGAAGGCGACTGACAGAGGTCCTGGCCGCTTCAAGACTCGATTTTTACGGTGAAGATAGGGTCCGGCAAGATCTACAGGCCGGCATGGTATCCAGCAGAACTCGAGGACGGATGAAGCGTCTGGAGACCGCAGGCTCTACTAATGGGGTTATACCCGGTGCCAAACTTAACCCCAAATATCTCGAGGTGGATGAGTACCAGGGTGAGGAGGACCAGTAAGATGACAAGAAAGAATGAGGACGAGGGTCAAGACGATGGCACTGAGAGAAATGATTGGGCAGTGCCGCAGATAGAGATAGGGATACCAGGTAAATAACGACAGCCGTATCTGATACCAAATGAATCCTCAGGATCCGATGCCATTACGAATATGAACGAGACAATGCTCCCATAGTGCCGTATATGGAAATGGGCACTTTCAGCCAAACTCGAGGCGACTGCTCCATGAGGCATACTACCGGCTTCCAAAACCGTCCTAGAACCTCTGCCAAGGCCCACGTTCTTTCGCATCGCGTACTGCGAGGCCACCCACAAACCGTAAGAAACACACCTGGCCAAAGACGCCGACACTCCCAAGCAAGACAAAAGACTCGTCTCGTGGTGGTCACTGTATCCCAAAAAAGGCATCGTCGAACTTGCCATGCTCCATCTCCGTCATGTCGCCAAAGTACATATCATCGAAGGTGCTGCCGTCTCCACCGTCGCCGCCCATGTTCATGTCGAGGTCCATTCCATCGAGACTCGTGTTGCCATCGAGGTTGAAGAGGTCATCCAAGTTTGTTGAGTCCTGCTTCTCCATTTTGCCTTCGGCAGGCTTTTCCTGGCCGGCTACCGCCGCTGCCGGCGCACTTGCTGCCGGTGCTGCCGGTGCTGCTTGTGCTGCGGTGTCGGATTTGGCGTTGTTGGCATTGTCCGGCGGGAGCAGGTTGTCGAGAGACAGGAGATCGCCGCCCATCTCGCCAGAACCGAATGACATATCCATGGCGGCGTCTTGAGACTGGGGTTGGCCCTGAGAGTCGTTATTTGGCGGGGCAAGACTAAATGTCATGTCGGTGAAGTGGAACTCCGAGTTGCTTCCTTCAGCCCCGCCGCCGCCCGCGTCTCCTCCCAGGCCGAATAGATCGTCCATCGGGGCCTCGGGGGCGCCAGACTGCGGAGGCTGTGTGGCAATAGGTTCGGTCTTTACCTCGGGCTTCACGTCTCCCATGGGCGCCATCATAGCCGGAGGTGCCGGTGCCTGCTCCTGCTTGATTGCCTGCGCAGGCTCTACCGGCGGCTGGAAGCTGACGCCCATGTCGGGGAAGGGGGCCATCGATGGAGCCGCGCTCGGCTCTGCGGGGACCCTATGCGGGCCCGAAGCTTGTGTGAGCTGGGCCTTTTGGTCGGGAGACGGCTCCCTGGATGAGGAGTCGAGGTCGATGGCCATTGGTGACTTTGTCTGCGCATCGACCGGGGCCGGTTGTTGAATTGGTCTTCTTGCCTCCTGTATCCTGTCCAGATCTCTTTGCAGAGCTGCCTTTGCTCTGATCTGCCGCATTGGTCAGAGAAGACACATACCGATTTGACAGAATAACGACTCACAATTTCGCTCTCCAGGTCATCTAGCTTCCAGTGGAAGCTTTCAATAATTTCCGGCATCTTTGTTTGGAGGGAGATGTGAGCCTGAAGCTGGTGCTTGCCATCCTTACCCCAGGCTTTCAATGCCTTTCCTGTTTGTACGAGCTATAAAGAAAAGGAGTTAAGTAAGCAGCAGTCCTTCCAATCAGTCAAGATAGGTGCAATTAACCGCGTCATTGATGAGCCCATGCAGAGCCTCTGCAGGATCCATATCGGCCGGCTTCGAGGTGACCATCTCAGTGGGATGTACCGGCCGAGCCCCAGTTTATGTGGCCAGGTATACAAAAGCTGTTCGAGCTGGTTGAAAGGGTGAGAAGTATGAAGGTCTCGTGGAAGTCGGCCTCGTCAAGTCGAGATGTGTTGTGACAAGTCGCTTCGATGCTTGAATTGATGCCCGGATTGATGCCGAACCAAGGATTTGGCAAGCAGATGTGGATGTGAAAATGGCGTCCTCAGTGAAGCCGTGTTCAACACAGTGAAAGCCTAGGCCCCTAATCTGCTATGACGACAACTGAGAGTGAATGTGGTTGCTGAGCGCTGTAAGTGGCACTGATTCGACAAGTCATCAATGTTTGATGTCGTTTGAAGCTGTCTACCGCCAACCTCCGACCTCAATGGCGGGGATACGTACCGCGCGCAGAAACAGAGAATGAACGGAGAGGCCCGAGCAGACAAGGTGGGTCCAGTGCCGAGAGACTGCAACCTCAGGCTCAACCGATCGCTGTAGTCCGCGTAGTTGCGCTAACGCACCCGCTGTTGAGCTCTCTCAGCGCCAACCTGGCAGCAGTGACCCCGGCACGGGTGTAGACGCAGACGTGGGATGTTCGAGCTGGCACGGCGGGCAATTGTACTGCGCGGACTGGCAACGCCATATCGACTGTACCTTACCTTACCTAAGACCGGTAGGTACACTAGGTACCTGAGGCAAGCACCGTACCGCCGTAGGGCATTTCCCCTCTCCCTGATCGCCCGCTGTTAGTGTTGGTTGTGTCTCTCGTCCCCCACACGTGCCTTCCATGCATCAGATCAAAATCTTGGGACGAAAGGCAATTGAAGGAGGGGAGGGGGGCTTTCAGTCGACTTGAAACATGGAAATGCCATGTGGAAAGCTCGTGTCTTGGTCCCTAGAATCGAAAGCTAAGGGCAACCGGCTACGCTCCTGTGAGAATCTCGGCCCATTTCAGCGTAACGGCGTGTCCCGACTAGTATCGTCTGCTTTTGCCCAGGAACGCTCTCTTCCGTATCCGTGCCATGCAACTCGCTACAGAACGGCTAGTGTTGGAAGCATGAGCAGCCTTGCGCGGGGATGCTAGACCCCAAGGAGGGGAGCAATCGGCTCATCTGGCATACGCTCGATATAAACCAATCAACGCGACGTCTTTCCGGGATGCAAAGCAAAGGCTCTCAGATGTCGTTGAGGGGCCGTTGTTGCGGATGAGTAGCGCCCCGGGAAGGTCGTTAACGGTAAACGGAGGTATGGATAGCCCTATCTGTGGCGCGATGCAGCGGATTAACTCAGCTGATGAGTGTTCGTCCCATCCGTGCCGGGAGCCCTTCTCCCGGGAGATTGGTCGTGTCCTGCAACACAGTTTCGTAATCCAAACCCTCGGTCACCGATGTCTCTTTCTTCTGCAGCATGGGCTGGCTGCGAATTTCCTTTAGTGGGAGGTGTCGTGAGGCTCAATGGCCACTAGAAGCATCTTACAACCCCCCAACTCCATCTAGTGCCAGTGGACACCTTTCCTTCTTGTATAAAGAGCCGCCTTCCTTGGACACTAGATGTCCAGCATCGCCATGCGGCGCTTTATTGTTCGTTACTCGATCGTAATGACCGTGGGGATGGACGAGGCAGTAGTGCGACGAGAAAAAAAAAAGAGGTAAGTGACCGAGGCAGGACCAGGAATATCCATCCCACCTTGACGGAATCGTTCGATTTTGTGAAAATTCCATCATTTCTGCACTGGCGTTAAGCCCCTTCCTATATCGACTTGTTTGCAGCCAGTGTTCCATGCCATGGCCGGGGCTTCCATTGACTCAAATATTGCTCGTCAGCGCACGCATTTCATGCCTCATTCGAGCTCATCTTATGGTGCTTCTTAGCGGTTGGCGACCTCATCTAATGTGACGCATTTGAGCCACCGCGAATAACCGACCCCACATATACTATGGAATTAATGCTGCCTAGGTATATGCGTCGTCTTATGGCCACCCTCACGGTCTTCAGTACAGTGTGTTCCCGAGGGAGCCAGTTGATTACGGGCAAGCAAATCGCCTTCGCCATCCCAAGCGGCCGGGCCTGGCTCGCTCATGGGTTGTCGTTGACAGCTGTGCGGCATGTCTTCATGGTGCGATACGTAAAGTTCCACGTTGTCAGTGTCAGTCAGTGGCAGTAGGTGGCTTCATACCAGAGAAGGTCTAGCGTTAGTCGCTTAGGCTGGATCTATCTGTTGCAGCAACACCCCTTTTTTGCTGCCATCCCATCTGCTCACGCCACAAGCCCTGACCTACCTTACCGGGAAGCTCGACCCAAGTGCCCTCGACATTGGGGGCTCGGCGTTGAGTGCGGGATGCGACAAGTACAGTGTACTCGACGTCGGCGGCAAGCAACAAACAGACGAAGGAGGTAAAAAGCCCACGCCGCTGAGTGACCAGCGACTGGCACCCGGGTTTTAGGAGCACCACCCTGGGCCGACTGGGAATAGGGGACAGCTGTGTCCATTGGACAGGCTCGCAGGACAGGCAAATGCCTGGCACTGGGCTGGGCTGGACGAGACCTTCAACGGGCCAATCTTGTCTTCTGGGGCCGGTGGTGGGGATTGAAGACCCATCACATCCATATGCTGAAATCTGGAAGTGCGCTTAGAGGAGGTACCTATTGTTGGAAGAAGAGTGCAGCTGTACTGAGGTAAGGTAGGCAGGCACCCGGTAGGTAGGTAAGGTAGTACCTTCGACAGCAGGCAGGTAGGTGCCAGGTGTGATGCTGCGCGCGCTGGTGCTGCAGCACTCGATCCTCGTCCAATTGCACGTTGAGAAGGACAGGATATGCACCGGAGGCGCTGGGAAAATCTGGCTGCACACTTTGCATCCTGCAGGGCTGCGTGGGCAAGCAAGTACTCATGCGAGGCCAGGTAGGTAGGTAAGGTGAGGATGTGTGCAGTGAGCTTCGCAGGCAAAGTAGGTACGGATACGTAAAGTAGGTAACGTATAGGTAGGTAGGCAGGTAGTGTAGACAAGACAGGCAAGGCAATTTGGTGTTGGGTTGTTTAGTGCTCCAATCCTGGGATGATGAAAGTCCCCTCATTGCCCGCCTTCTTCTCCCTCTTTCCATATGCTCCCCTTCCCCTCCGCCGGCCAGCCCCCTCCCCATCGTAGAATCTCCTCTCCTCTCCTCCTCCTACTCCTCCTCCTCCTCCTCCTCCTCCCCTCCACCAGCAACCTCCTCTCCCGTCTCTCTCCTCGGATCGGTTTTTGTCGCAATTCCTTTCAGGGATTTCCAGTCCTCTTCTTTCCTGCCTGTTTCCTTGGTGCTCGTCTCCGCTCATCATTTCAAGTCGTCTAACACCGGTGCAAGTACGCCACAGCTGGAGCTACCACCCGCAGCA